CTCTCTTCATAAGGGAGGTGCTCCAGTCCCCTGATCATCCTCGTGGCCCTCCTCTGGACTTGTTCCAACAGATCCATGTCCTTTTTATGTTGAGGACACCAGAACCTCACAATACTCCAAGTGAGGTCTCACAAGAGCAGAATAAAGGGGCAGGATCTCCTCCTTTGACCTGCTGGTCATGCTCCTTTTGATGCAGCCCTGGATATGGCTGGTTTCTGTGCACACACTGAAGCCGGCTCATGTTCATTTTCTCATTGACCAGCACCCCCAAATCCTTCTCCACAGGGCTGCTCTGAATTTATTCTCTGCCCAACCTGTAGCTGTGCCTGGGATTGCTCCGACCCAGGTGTAGGACCTTGCACTTGGCATGGTTAAACTTCATGAAGCTGGCATCAGCCCACCTCACAAGCATGTCAAGGTCCCTCTGGATGGCATTCCTTCCCTCCAGTGTATCAACCGAACCACACAGCTTGGTGTCAGCGGCAAACTTGCTGAGGGCGCACTCAATCCCACTGTCCATGTCACCAACAAAGATGTTAAACAAGACCGGTCCCAACACCGATCCCTGAGGGACACCCTCACCCCTTTGCAGAAGTTAATGCAAATTGTGAGCACTTGAATCTCCAGAACATCAGGCCAGGGAACCTCTTAAACCATTTCTAGAAACAAGAATGCAACCATCCGTTTGTCCTGCACAAGCAGATGCTTCAGTTACATGCAAGCTAAACACACAGGCTTTCAGATAGTGAGTTATGCAGCCACAGAATGTCCAAAGTGCAGGTGGAGGCAGGACGTTTGTCCCTGCATTGTGGACATTGTCCTGGACAGGCCTAATCTCTTACTCTGAAAATGCACATGTAACTCATTACCAGCACCATCAAGGTGACTGGCAAGGCTGATGAGGAAGCAACCAGGGAGAACCAATGCCTGTTGTGTCTTGCAGCACTCTTAAGCCCACTGTAACTCCCCTCAGCTGCGTCTATCTACACAGCTCTAAGCAGCTGACAGAACAGAGCCTGCTCCAGGGCTTAACTGCCTTTGGACTAAGCAAATCTTCCTACTGCAGATTTCCCTTGCTACAAATCAAGATGGCCACATTTCATCTTTCTATGTCACACAATGATAACTAACAGTTGTCCTCTATATAATTATCTTTTATGCAATTGAAGACTTTGACTTTCAACCAGATCAGGATTTCTAAACCTTTTATTTCTGTTGCTTTCCTGCTTTCCTTCTTTCCTTCAGAGTGTTTCTGTCTTCTACAGTGAGGTGCCCAGACCAGTAGCCCTCTGGAGTCTTTGACATTCTCAGCTAAGCACAGTAATTATTTCTGTCTTACAACTGACATTCCCATTAATGAGGCTGCAAATGACATTTGCCCTTTCTTGGATGAAGGTAATGAATCCCACTATCTGTAGTCCACTATAATCTTAGCTTCTGCAGTATTGTCATCTTAACTGCTATTTACCATCTGTATACACAAATCCAACTTTTTTCTTCCTCAAATGCAATTTGCACCTGTCTTTTAACATATCCCATCTTATTGATTTCAGGCTATTCTTTCAATCTATCAAGAACATGTTGAATTCTAATCCTAACTGAAATTATGTTGACTGGCACAAACTCCTGGCCTGCCTCCTTTTTAAAGGCAAATACCAAGTCTGCCTTTTACTGATCCCCTGAGACTTCAAGCTTCCTCCAGGAGTTTTCAAAGAGGTTTGTTAATGGTTTGGAGATTGTTTTTCTTGGCTCCTGTGCACTCAGAAGAAATTTCATCAGTCTAGCCTGACTTGAATACATCTCACTTGCCTTAGGATCCTTTTCTGTTTTCAGTTCTTGCTACCTTGAAGTGAATATTAAGAGCACCACATTATGGACATAGTTTATCACTTTTAGAAAGACCAAAAGCAAAGAAAATAAGGAATGGAAAAAAATACTTTTGCCATCTGCTCTCATTTCAGTATTTTCTCATTCATCTTTATTACTAGAAGACACACATGCTTTCTTTCACCTACCCCTTACACACAGCTTATTCCTGAACTCCCTTGCCATTTTGCATGTCTTCTGTTTACAGTACCGTAGCACATTCAAGGGTTTTGATGCACTCTTACAATGTGCAGTAGTACACATTTAGGCTCATTCTTAGAAACATTTTTATCCTTTCCTTTGCAAAATTCTCTGGCCCACTGAAGAGTTGCTGACACAGATATGTAGATTGTTACTGTTCGCTTTTTTCTGCCCCAAAAGGAGATGGTGCTGTACTATAAACACAGTGTCTTCCAGAGGCTGATTCCTCATCCTACAGAAACTCTGTCTTTTCTCAGAAGAGGGATCAAGGTTCTTTCCCAATTGCTTTTGCTCTTATTACCTTCTGCTTACAGACTGCTAGCTTGTTCCATCAGTCTGTTTATGTTATATATATATATTTAGGAGACTGCAGCACTACAACACATTCCTCAGTTTCTCATATGCAACAATTCAGGCATAAAGCTTTCCAGACAGCTGTTTTGCAACTGTGTCCTACCTCCACCCCACCATCACATGCTTTTCCCACATCCCCTCTGCTTGCACTGATCGCCTTGTCTCAACCATAGGGATATACCACCACATGGGAGTGTTAAATGACACATCAAAATTACAGCCCGATGCTGGGAATCCTTCCCCTCATCTTCCATTACAGCAGTGGAGGAATGTCCTTGGAAAAGCATCTACATGGGAATAGAGGTTTCCACTGCCTTTCAGCACCCTGCTGTGGTCTGGGTGACAGCAGTCTTCCCATTCTCATCTCTAGTAGCCTGAAGATCTTCTCTGAGTGCAGATTCCCTAAAATGCAGATTTCCTAAACACTACTGCACTGACTCATTTCATTAAACTGGGACAACTCCAGCTCCTGCTGTGGGAGGATGAGGCTATTTACTGACTTACCAATAAAAATTCACAGTGGACCAGGACTTGGAAAAGAAACAAAAGCACCAAACTGTTTTCTAGTGTCCACACCCTGGTGTGCTAGGAGTCAGCACAGCTGGGTATCACTTATAGGTGGTTTCTAGTATTGTTCACTCCCATCTCTGCTCCCGAGTCACTAAGATGCAAGAATCTGAAATGACTAACAGGGTGCTCTCCTGCAGGCAGCGGGGAGACTGACAACAGTGGATTAGGGGACCAGAGTACCAAAGAAGCATTTAGGCAAAGCCCTGACATGGTAAATGGTGCTGACAGTTTCATAGCGCTGTCTACAAGTCAGCATCAATCCAGCTGTGGCAGTGTGGTAGGGCCTGGCTTTTTAGTAAATTTCCATTTCCTTTATTTGCATCATTGCTCTCTATTCTCTTGATGCATTTTCCCCCCCTCAGAATTAAAAAAACAGCAAAGTTCCTTTGCCTGTGAGGACTCTGAGATATTAAACTGTTAGTGAATACTTCTGCAGTGTCAGCCCTCTGTGCCTGTGAGCCCTGGTGCATGTGTAAACCCAGCACACACATCACACGTGCTCTGGGCACTTCTGTTAAGCAAAGGAACAACTTCAGCTAAGGGCTGGGTTGTACTACAGCTTTCAGTACAGGTCACTGCTGGACACAAACTTGCAGTTGTACTCTCATTTGCTTTGGTCCAGACCATATGGGAATGCTTAATTTCCAGCTGTCTTGGCAGCTGTCACTACCAATGTGCCCTCAGTGTTTTGCCCCACTGGCAGTAGAGCTTTTTGCTATCTTCATCCTATGGGACTAACTGCTCCTATTTCAGGTCACCTGTGGATACAAGCACCTGCAGTTTTGCTTTAATTCACAACAAAGTTCAACAATAAGAAAGGCTATCTGCATATTCTGCAAAGTTCACCTTCGCTCTAAAGGCTTCCTGGTTTTATTAATGCTGAATCTACACACAGACAAGCAGTTTATCCTAGGTATGTTCTCACGTCACAGTCTCCTTGTATGCAAGGTCAGCAATCCAAGTTTGGTCTTGCAATTAGATTATCTTTCCTGGAGCATTCCAGTTGCTCCACAGATTTTGCATTTGTGGTAACTCTGAAGAGTTATCCCAACTGCAGTTTTTATTTATTTAGTATTCCCTGGCTTAGTACTTGCCACTTGTACTTTACATGTGGCATATATGCTGTTATGGAAGGTGACTGGTGGTTACTCACCTGTGTAATTAATTTTCTGGCTGGACACAATGTTTGCATACTGTATTTCCTTAATATGTAAGTTGCAACCCAAGGCATACCAATAAAAAAACAGACCAGACTGAATTAGTACAGCTCTTAGAATCAGTATAACTCTCCTTACACATCTATTATCTAAGCTTTTAGTTTGTGTGTAGACCAATTTTTCTCATCACTTTCAGCAAATGCATCTCCTGTTACTCAATTATCCTAGACTTCTTTAAATATATAGACTAGGACCTGATGTCTTTTTAGTTATGAAAAGAGTAAAAATGACAACATCCAGTATTTTATTCAGATGAAATTCCTATTACACACTGCCTGACAAGCCACAAAAATATCAGGGGGCTGGAGCACCTGTCCTACAAAGACAGGCTGAGAGAGATGGGCTTGGTCAGCCTGGAAAAGAGAGGGCTCTGGGGGAGACCTTAGGGCAGCATCCAGTGCCTAACAGGGCTCTACAAGAAACCTGGAGAGGCAGTTTGTACAAAGGCATGTAGTGACAGGAGAAGGGCAAATGGCTTTAAACTGGAAAACAGTAGATTAAGACTAGCTATAAGGAAGAAATTCTTCACTATGAGAGTGGTGAGGCCCTGGCACAGGTTGCCCAGAGAAGCTGTGTCTGCCCCATCCCTGGAATTGTTTAAGGCTACGTTGGATAAGGCTTTGAGCAACCTGGTCTAGTGGAAGATGTCCCTGCCTGTGGCATGGGATTGGAATCAGATGATCTGTAAGGTCCCTTCCAACCCAAACTATTCTATAATTTTATGAAGTGTCATTAGTTCTGAGGCCCAAAAAAGTCTGTACAATATCACTACACTGTCTAGAAAACACTTACCTCAGATAAACGGCCGTCTGCTCCAAATGAAATGTCCTCTGTAACCTGTTGGAGACAAAATTATTAAGTATATGGTAGATAAATGCTATATAAACAGTAAGATTTCAATGGAACTTACAAAAAACATATAGCACATTAAAAAGTTATATAAAGAGAACAATTACATCCTTTTCTTTCACACACGTGAAACATTTCAATTGCATTTACAATGGAGCATTTGTAGCCACCCAATATTTAAAGCTAAATTTGATCACAATTTACTAAAGCCTGCCTTTGGCTTCACAGTTAAAACCCACAAGGAATACAGCCTCTAAAGCTGAAGGACTAACTACAGATTAAACCAAACTTTTCTATCAAGCTTTTATGGATCTATACACTATTCAGGAGTCTACAAGAATTTTCTGGCACAAACCCTGTAAGTGACTTCGGGCAGGACATACAAGAGACCCCAATGACAATTTGTATTGTTAACACCACTGACGATTTGTATGTTAACGCATGCTAACTATAGTCAATTCCTCTTTCAAAACTTGCTTCATCTGTAAAGTCTGTAAGAAATTAGCCAACAATTTATCGATGGCTGAGGAGCAAGGAAATTTGATGTTAATGTTATTGTATAATCATTACTTCTTATCACATATAACAGTATTGATAATCTTGCAATAAGCTGCGATAGGGCTATTGCTTTGGTAGGAAAACAGTATCACAGATATGTACATATATATAATAAAGTGCAAAATCATTACTCTGCTATGAGATCATTATTATTGATAGGTACTCTTTTCCAGTAATCTATCTGAAAAGAGTTTGCTTAGATTTCTTTTACAATTTTTAGATTTTTTAATTACATTTTTTTGATTTTTTAGTTACATTTTTAGATTTTTTTTTAATTACATTTTTACTGCAAAATACACGTAAGGATTAAGCTTACTGAGATGCTATGATCTATAGCTAATGAGGTAGTATTTTTACCAGTGGATACTGCATATCAGGATCACACACCACTCAGGGGCATCATACTGCACAACAACACATGTGACTGTACAATGATGATCTGACCCTTGTGCACAAGCCAGCTGCCTGTTGCAGCAGAAACCCTTTCCAGCTTGGATCAATACAAAAAGCACTCAAACATTGACTTTCAGTGATGCCTAATGCTGACATTTAAAATGAAGATTAAAGTTTCTGAATTATTTTTGCAGCTTTATAAATACAATGTTTAATTAAAACTCAAATGAATGCCAGTTTATTTAGCCTTCTAGAGGCTTTGTCCTTTACACATTGCACATTTGTCTCCTGGAGCACAGGCTATCTCAATGCACAGTAATGAGTTACAGCCTGCTGACAGAGGCTTTCTTGGTGCTTGCTATCACTACATTCTGAAAAATGTAATGTCATATCCTGTGATGATCTCTTTTTAATGACAGACACCACATTAAATATTATTATCCTTTTACAATTGGCCACTTAGTATCACTTAGAACATTCAATACCTTAATTAAAAACAGTGAGTCACATGAAGGCTTTACAATTACTGAACATCTTCCCAACACCAGAGTGCTCTACAGAAGATCTCAAAACATTGTCCCAGATGACAAAACTGCAGTATGGATAGGTGGCGAAAAGACAGCAGGCCTTACTCTTACCTCTGCTCCTTGCTTCTTTTATGGTGAAAATGTGAGAAATTACTTACAAAGAATTCTGACAGGATAACTACCAAAAATGCTGACTTACAAAAGTAACACTACTGAATTTTGGTTTTTACCTTGTAACTTTAATCACCTCAATTTTCTTGAAATCTAGTAGGTGTTTCTTTCCTTCATAGTGATTAAGAGGGAGCACTGCACAGCATGCCAGATAGCAGAAGAAGAAGAAAAAAGGATAGGTCAGGAACTCAAGCCTGCAGGTGCACACATACTCATGTTCATCAAGATAGTTTGTGTTAGGGAGGTCCCAGCACACACACACACTCTATTAGTTGTCATCTGTTTCTGGTGTTATAACGAGGTTTTGCTTACACATACATTATCAACAAGCAAGAAAAGTAAAGCAAGATATCCTAAGGAGTGGTAAAAGCAGGAGCTAAGCCCTGAAGAGAAATTAAAGGTTACTGTATATTTTTTAAATCATCCAGATATATATCTTAATGTATAATAATGATCATAACAACTCTGATCTCACTCACATGTCACCTGGGCAAAATAACTTGCAGTCAGTTTGAGAGTATGGAAAAATTCTGGGATGAAAAGAAAAATCAAGCCAAATTAGTCATAAAAAGAGAAGCTATAACTGCAGTGATGGGGCACCCTAATTTCATTAAGATAGCTACCAGCTAGGGAGTATACACTTAATACGGAAATTCAAGAGGCAGTATCAAATACATCAGACAATGAGCTGACTTGCACATGGCTGAGGCAAGTAATAAAGCTGTAACCTTTCTTCAACATATCTTTTAAATACTTAAACCTAATGAATTACCTGTATGAGATGAGTACATCTTAATTTTTAAGTAACTACAAGTGCTCCACAGGATGATTTTTGTTGGCCCCACTTTATTTATTTTGAATTAGTAACAATGTGTTCAACAAGCTGAGATGCCCAAGCATGCGACTGCCTTCCCTGGTTAACCATTATAAAGGAAATTTGATTTACCGGATTATTTTGGGATGCTATAGTCTACACAACTGGGAAAAAGAAATTAGGTACTGTCATAGAGAACACAGTTATGAAGACTATAAAATAACTGTTGACAGTTAATAAACCTGTGCTTCACACATGACACTGAAATATCTGAACTTTCAAAGAATTTATACCTTACATATTTTAGAGCAGAACAAGTCATATTTTATGATCTAGTGTGGATATTTAATTAAAAATGAAAGACACTCCCTCTGCAAGCAATACCTAAGGATCTAAGTGAAGGGTGCTTTCAACTCATCTGCTTTGCTTTTCTTATTACCATGTTTCTTGCTTGTTTGTTTTCTAATGAAACCTATACAGTAAAACACAGTTCTATGCAAGGAAACTATATTTATAGTGTACATCAACAAAACCAACATCCAATCCACAGTAATGCTTAGCCAGATATGATAAATAACTGGAGAGCTTCGTTTACAGCATTTCACCATAAAGTAAATCAATCACTTCAGAAAATAATATACCTTCCAAGGCATAGAGGCATATATACCATTATTACCCTTTTCTATACTGTTTTGAAGCAAGAAATTCAATAACCTCTAAATACAAAGAATGCTACTGTTTCATTCTGCTTCAGTGACCAACAGCACTTCCTAGAAATTCCCCAATGGGGAACAGAAGTGACACAATTGAAGAGAATAGTCACTCTAGAAACATGGCCACCACATCAAGTGACTTCTCACAGAGGGACAGCGCATCCTTCTTAAATAATATCAAACCGAGTATTTTGACAAATACATGCTTTTCTACTAGGTATCACCACTTACTGTAAATGGCTACAAAAAAGCTCATTACTAATGGGTAACAGTAAGTTTTTCTATGAAAGTCATATGAATGACTAAATTTAGAGGCTAAAAGCCACACCACTGTTGCTTTGTGGTGGTTTTTTTGGCCACAAACATAAAATTATTTTTAAATAAAAACAATGCAATAGCCTAGGCCAGACCCACTTAAATGCTCCAGAAGTGGTTTCTCTTTCAGCCAAGTCCATTTACACACCAAGACAGATCCTGCCTTGCACTTCAACATGTTCAAAACTGGAAGTTAGCATGACTTGTGTCAGGGTTTTCTCTGCTTTTATATTCTGCCCTGTGATGAACCACTAGGAGATGTTAGGGAATGTTATGCTATTGCTCTTTTCCAAAGGTTTAGATACTTCCTGTCACTCATACTGAGATCCTACCAGCTTTACTATCTAAAGCGTACTCGTCTGGGTAAAATTACCAAAAGCCAGAACAAGCTAAAAAATCCTAGCTCCTGAAAGTATAAAAGCAGACTAACCCTAACTCCAGAACCAGAATATAGTCTATACACTGGAGTTGTTTATGGTTGCAAGCGGACGCAGTCATCACTGGTATATAACTTTGCCTCATTGATCAAAGCTGTAGGCAGCACTGAAGCAGAGGAAGGCTAGTTGACTAAGCTGTAAAATACATCTGTGCTTCTCAGTTCCTTGTAAAAGCTGGAAAATGGACAGTCTTATACTAACAGAACTGCTTCTTTTTTTCTTTCAAGTTTGTCAGTCCTAGGAACACTGTGGAGACAGAGGCACGAATACTGATGGGCATTTTCATGTTTATATTTGCACATTAGCTTCTGAATGGATTTTGGCATGTTCTTGAAATGGAGTTTGTTTAGGGTACCAGGACAAGCCATATCCCAGGCAAAGACATTTATACCACAAAGTTTAACCACTTAGATGAAATGCTGGAGTTTGGAGGTAGTCTCCTGAAGTTCCCTCTATGGTTGACACAAGCAGAGGGAAGTTATAAAAAAGCAAGTTCAAAAAGAAGAGCTTAATGGAAGCACTGCAGGTATGCTTTCCTCTTCCATTAAACATATGGGAAACCTGTCTGTCTTGAGTCCTGCACATCTCTCCAGAACCAGAAGTCACCTCACTTCAGCTGCCTAGATGTCATTCTAGGATAGCAATGCTGATTTCCAGGCAAACGATCTGGAACTGCAGAGGTGAAATAGGCGATCACTGCAGCACAGATCTCAAGAGTACTACACAAACAGTCACAAAACCCAACACCCCCTCTTCCTCTCCCCCCCCCCCCCCAAGCTTCTCAGCTGCGCTTCTGAAAGGGGTACACAGCTTTCCATAACCAACAGAACTCTTATTACTTCATCAGACTCATCAGGAAAACAATAAGAAGGGGTTGGGGGGGGAAATCAGAGTCCCAGCTCATCATCTCCAATAAAAATGCTGTCTATGTGGAACCAGCCCATAAACCATTTTCCCTAGGAAAAGGCTGCAAGCACTCTTGAAGCCCACACCAAGAATTTTACAAATGAGAAGATTTTACAGTAAGGTAAGGGCCTGCTTTCCACTAAATTTCAACCAATATAAATGCAAAATTAGGCATCAGCTTTCAATGTAACACATTTCAACGGCTTGTAACAAGAGATGTAATTAAGTGCACTTCTACTTTTTGTCAAAGATATTCCAAGATAATAAAACTGACAACTCCTGTTGGAGGGTCTTTTTGTCACAGTGGTGCTGTTGGGCTGAGGAAGCTTATTAACAGCTTCTTTGCCTTGGCTGTGCAGTTAAGATTATTAGGTAGTTGTATATTTTTTTGAGCATGGATGGCATTCCAGAACAGAACTTGAAAACTTAGAAATTTGTCAAACCATTTAAGCCTTATGACTTTTTTCCTCATTTTAATACTTGTTGGATGCTGGAAGCCTACCAGCCATCTGAGCTAGGAAACCTTTGACCATTTCACTAGGGGAGGAAAACTTGTTCTCCCCCCCCATTTCAGCTAACATACATCCAGGCTAACAAGTCAGCAGAACTCAGAGTGACACTCATCAATGAGATGAGGAACAGCTGACAGCTTGTGTTAAATACTTAATTGTTTTTCCTTTAAGTCCTGATGTACATTCTGTACTTATTGTCTGAATAATTTCCACATTTTAAAAAGACTGATTGTGAAAAGAAAAAGGGTTGAAGGGCTTCTGAGAAGCTAGTAAGCTATTTTATTCATGTCCCAGATTGGAAGTCAGATATTAAATTCATACTTAACCTGCCCTGCTGACCCACCACCCAGATTCAACTCCTCCTCTCAGAAAGAGAACTAGCAGTTTGAAATACAGCTGTAGAATATTTCAGATACCTCTTCTAGCTCGCTGTGCTTGGGGCAGGGAACAGAGCCCCACTCTATGCCCTTTGGAAAGTGACCTTCTTTTCTTTTCTCAGAATCAGATGGGCCATCAGCAGTCATCTCCATGTCATCCATTTGGTTCTCCTCTTGCTCGAAACCACAGCAACTCGTTTCTTTCAGTTGAAACCCTCGGATCAACAGCTGACAGGCCTCCAAGTCAGCTTCCCACACTCTTTGGAGCAGCTGGCTCCCACAGCTGAAATAAAAGCCAGAAGAAAATAAAACTGCAGTTCAGGGAGAATAGTTGCTATTTCAAGAAACTTTTGGGGTGAGTGCTTATTATTAGTTAGGAAAATAAAAACAACAAAAGAACAACAGCAGCTCAAATGCTTCCACAGAGATAACACAAGTGATTTAAAACTGAAAAGCAGTAAAATTGCGGCCATATTACAAAGCCAATACCATAAAAAAAAAAAATCCCTTTGTCCTAAGATGTTGCTTCCAACTGTATGTTGTACACTGGCTATACATGTCCTTCTCTGGATCAGACCAAAGACTAGGGTCTTGTGATCACAACCAGAGCTTCATTCATCCTACTGGATATACAGGCTCATCACCCTAAAGGTAGTCATGTGGTTTTCCCAGATTTGATGTAGAACATCATGTACAAACAGTTGCACTATTCACTGCATTAAATCAGCTCTAAGTTTTGGAAAATACATACACTGTATTTCTTGTTAGACTGAAACATGCTTACTTCAACTCCAGTGAATTTGATCAGATCAAACTGTAATACCCTTACTTCCCCTCAGCCTTATACTTGTGTGTATTGTCCTTATCTCTCACTAATATATTTTGGTTTTTATTTCTACTTTGTTATCCCACCAAAGAATAAACAAGTGTTAAAAATTCAAAATACCCAACTTCCTCATACCTTTCATCTACTGATCATCTCTCAGAGATACCCATGTATGTTACAAATACTGCTTCTGAGATCCATTCAATAAGTATTTCCACCTGAAGTAAATGGGAATTCTAGGCATAGACAGTTTATCAGAACAAGACACTGACTGATTACTAAGATCACACTGCTCTGAAGAGATGTGGTCACATCTTCATTTAATACATGTTGTCTCTAAGGACCAAAGATTAGGTTGCCTGCTAAAATACAGCAGATAAGTGGCAGAGCCTCGGATGGGACTCAAAAGCACAGTGTCTCATGGAAATGCACACTTCCAGACAGATTTCAAGGCTAATATCTAATAACCTCAGTTTTTCACAGTGCTTTTCAAATTATATTGTTTACTATATAATTATAAGGATTATAAGTGACTAAAAAAAGGAATATAGCTATTTAATTTCAGCTTTTCTGACTAAATTAAATACCAGCTTATCTTTTATTCTAAATGAAAGAGATAAAGGAGCTGCACTGCTCACACTGATTTCATTAACCTAACAAAGGTACATTTTTAACCCTACAAACTCTACAAGATGTCAAGCTATAAAATTCACACAGCAATATTCTGAGACTGAGAACAAAATTACGCTCCAGAAGCTGAGCTTTTTCATCTGTGCTTAGAGTCAGTATATATGTTTATTGAAGGCAGAATTCATCATGAGGTCCACAAATTGGTCTCCCCCAAGGAGATCACAGTATTGCTCATTAGAAAGGAAAAACCACCTTCACTAGATTACACCTGTGTTCCATCCAGGTAGCATTTCACCTACGAATCCAGAAAAACAACATACCCTCCACTGTTTCTCTAGTCATTTTATCATGGTTACACAGCCAAAACATTTCCTTGCAGACATACATAATCCCATTTACCTATTTTTTGAAAAAGTTTGTTCGCAGCTGCATATGGTTTATTATTATAGGCTTAGAAAAGACACTAGAAACCTAAATCATGATTTCCAGTGATACCTTGGTTTGGCTATTCAATTTAACAGAGAGCTCTACTGACAAAACTAGAGCAGAGATAGTGATGTATGCAGAATTCACAGTGGACAAGATGAATAGCAAATATATATAAATATATATATAGATATGTACAGAGCAATAGTGCCTGGGCTGCTGTTATTGGGCCATGTCTCACCTCACCAGTCAACATGCTTTTGATTGACACGTGTTTTAGTAATCATCAGTTACTGAACATACCACTAATAGCTTACTTTTAGTTTAAGAATAGCTTTGTTTTACCACCATATCTGTAAAACTCTGATACATCTTAAACTAAGACACTGAGATGTTAGGATGAACTTTTAAAGTTTATTAGTGAATGCATATGCAGTTGGATATACTAAACTTATATACCCAAGCCCAAGAACCCTGCATCTTTTAGTCTGTGTTTGAAATTCAGTGCCTAAAAGCATTTTTCAAACACACTTTTTGAATGAAAATTACTTGAAAGCTGCAAATAGCTGACAAACACATACCGAAATTATTCAAAATTATGTTGTTGCCAGCATGAAAAAATCTTTAGGCTTTTACATCAGGTGTGAAATCAAGCTCAATTGAATTTCAGAGTTTGGTTTATTCATGTTCAATCCACACTAAAAGTGCATTTGCAGCCTCCATGAAGCCAAAAATATGTGGATGCTTTTACTGAATAAAGTTTTTTCATATATACAACTTTTCAAAATGATGGATCAAGATGGGATCAGATTTTGTATTATTCCTATACTTATAAATATTTTATGATATATCAACCTCTGGGTGTTATATGCCTGTCTGTATTTTACTAACAAAGTGGCATATGTGGCAAGTTCAGTGGAGGTGCCAGGATCAGTTTGCTGGAATCCACAGCAAATCACAATCCACCAATCATTTATAGACCCAGCAACAACAAAGCATACCTTAATCACTTGCAGACTGTGAACTTCCAAGTTCACGAGTGCTCATGAGTACAAAGTGCCAGGCTTTGTACAAGATATAGACAAGGATGTTCAAAGAAACAGAGACAACAGGGGACTGAACATGGCATATCAGTTACAGTACAGTGGTTTAATTTGTTACATCAGTGACTAATTAGTCTAATCACTGTCAAGCACATTGAGGTATCACAGTGAATGAGCATTTTAAGGACCTGCAGGAGGCCATGAAAAAGGTCAGCGGATATCCAAAATCTTCACCCTTCCATAAAGGAATCATGTAAGAAAAAAGCAAAAGCAAAAAAGAGCAAAAAAAAGTAAAAGAGGTTAGTATAAAAATGCAATGGCAAATGATTGATATCAATGTGGTTTAAGAAAAAAATAAAAGAGAACAAAAGGACTGAGTAGGTGGTAAGACTGTGAGAAGCCTTGACATTGAAAGTTAGTAGTTACAAGTGATGTGATAGGACAGAGGGAACCAATGGAGAAAAGCAAACAAATTGAAATGATCAGAAACACAAAACTTAAGGGAAAGAGAACAGTCATTGCAGTGTCAACAGCTCTTTGAATGGATGAGAGTAGGGCAAGATTGCTTTTGTCAAGTCATGTTCAGGGAAATGGATGTTGTAGTAAGATGCAAGACTCAACTTGAGTAATTTTTTTAGCTGATGGATAGCTGGAACAGATCTTATCTCAAGGACACTATGCATAAAGAATCTACAAGAGCAGGCCTAAGTTGACTTGAAGAATGGCTGACACATCCACAGCAACACAAAAGGACACAGCAGGAAGTATTCTGGATTAGGTCAAGTTGATGATGACGGAAGAGCTGTCAGAGAAATTGAGATGTTTATGGACAGGAGGAGATTAATGCGGAACAGAAAGGTTTATCCTCGAGTTCTCTTCATAAAGTAGCAAATGGAATTGTAATTGCAGATGCTTTTACCAAGATTCAAGTAGTCTTCTAGGAAACAACACCAGAGAACAGAGAGTAAAACGAAACTAGAGGTTATCTTCAATCTACATGTCACATTGGGTGAAATTCATGTCAAGAGTCACATCCAACAAGGATTCTCTCTCCCTTCCTTGAAACCCAAAGAATATTGCTGTCTTTTCACAAGATTCTCAAAGATACCAGTGGGGACTCTCTATGTGTCTCTCAGCACAACATTATTCTAAAGCTATTTATAGTACTAACTGGAACTAGGAGAACATGACTTTCCTATTGAGGGCTCTGCATACATACAAAAGGCACATTCAGTTCCTGAACACTACAGCCTAAATAAAAACATGCCCATGTAAAAATAGCAGAGGCTTTTATATTAAACCCTACTGAAAAAAAAAAAAAAAGACAACCAACAAACCCAAAAAACTAAAAGCCACCAAACAAAAACCAACAAAACAAACAAAACCCAAAACCACACACACAAAAAAATCTCCCCCAAAATCTCTTCAAAAGCAAACTAGAATCAGCCAGGGAGATGGCACTACTTTAAACTTCATCATCTCTAGTGCCCCTTGGTGAGTGAATTGTTAAAAGTGGTTTGTAATACCCCGAAATCTACTGTGTTGATAGAAGAAGTTGCTTACTTCACAGGAAATGCCTGTAAGAGACATCTTGAAAGCCAAGAGAGTGCGACTGAAGCTAAAAGCCTACATCATAAGACATCTATTTAGAACTGCATAAACAAAAGCCATCTTAGGAGGTGAAGGTAGCATTACTAAGGCGCAGATTCAAGAGAGTATGAACTTACCTCTTCCCAGTACCTAGTACTCATGTTAACACTTCATTCACTGAACATAAAGGTGGTCTTCTCTCACAGGGAAGCAAACAAAATGCAGCAAAAACAGTTTGGTAGAAAGACCAGGGATTTTCATTACAACAATTAAAATTATTGGAAAGTTTTGAGGCTTGCAGAATCAAAAGACTTTGTTCTATATCCCTATTCTTTGTCACTCTATTGTACAAACTAGGGAAAGTTTCTCTATATTTTGGTCACCCACTTCTATTTATATTTTACAGAAAAAGGAAGGAACTAGCTCTTCTTACTCTAAATTTAGTTATGCCTTTGTTGCCTTTTCTTAAGGCAACAGCCATGCAGTGAACAAAGGAGGCAAGGGAAAGACAGTACGGAATAATAATACTTGAAGGAAGGAAGAAAACCATTTGCTCTACTGGTAGCAGAAATCCACCCCTCTTATTTGGTTTATCACATTAACTGAGAGTCATGCATTAACAGCCCTTCTTAGATTTAAGAAAGCAGTATTTACTACTTCAGGAATATGTTTTGCCTTTCTCCTTCATTACAAAATAAAAATAAAAATAAAAGCGGTTTCCAGCCTCATCAGTTTCAGATCTTTCACCTCAGCTGTTATATTTTAAGA